ATTTTGATTCTTAAAAGTTACACAGATAAAGAGCTTTCTTATTGGAACAGATTTTTTTTTTTTTTGAGAAAATCCACATAAAAATATTTGCATAACTTTGGGCTATTCAGATAGAAGGTGTTGACCCCAGTTGTGTTCTAGTGAATGAATCATTTATGTAGGAGCTCACTGCACAGAACGTATGGTATTTTATCTTTGCTGGTTTTCTGCCAAATACAGTCTGTAACAATTTTTCCCCTTTGCCACATTTGCTGCTTGATATCCTTTAAAATATACCAGCTCCAAGTATGAGAAAGCAAAACAGATTCTGGGCCCGCTCTGGCTGAGGGCTCTTTGTATGGATACTCCTGTGCTGGCACTGAGGTCTGCTTGCTTTTGGAGAACATCCATTCCAGATCTGGGATCATCTTGTGCTGAATGTTTTTAATCAATATTGATTTAAAGTTTATTTAAATCTGCAGGGAACTGCAAAAGCCCAGGAGCAAGCACAGAACCAGGGATCCTCCTCACATACAGAACAGATTTGCCCAGAAGCAGAGGGACAAAATTCCACTACCACTAACATCCTCAGCTCTGCACCTGCAGGGAAAGCCTGGGAGGATGTTTCTGCCAGAGCCCTACTTCATTATGTCTACCCTCTAGATATCACTTAAGTGGTATTTTGGCAAGACATATTTCTCCCAGCAAGGGCAAGAAACAAGATTATTTCATTAAGTGACTGAGGCGCTGCATGGCCAAAGCCACTATTACACTAGGTTTGATTTGAAATAGTAAACAAGAGGTCAAACTCTCTCAACACTGATCTCCCAGGGGAGAAGAGATAAGGTGGAGCGCTAAGATTTCCACACTCCCACATGAGTAGATAAGATCTGAATGAGCTGCCTCATCTGTAGGCTGCTTCCCTAAGTGATTTTTATAGCTTACACTGGAAACCCTCATACCTCTCTACACTGAATCACATAATTACGGTTTCCACCAGAAATTCCAAGCAGGATCTCCTCCCACTAAATTTCCTCTCACCTGCACTCCTTTCATCACTGAAGATGATGATTTGTCAGCACTACCTTTACTGCTGAAGAGAGTTCACATGCAACTCAATTTAGCAGCCAACAGACATGAGCTCCTAAAATACTCGCCCATGATTGTGCATGGCATGAACATCTCCAGGAGGAACCCTTCGTGCAAGACACACTGCAGTCTTGGTGTGTTCTCCCTGCTAAGCAAGTAACTGCTTTTACAACAGACAACCTCCACCATCAGGAGGATAACTTCTAGTTTGACAGAAAAGCCTGGCTTAGATGGAGACACTGCAGACAGCATGCAGTCTTATTAATCTCTGCCATCACAGCTTCCTCATCTGAGCTGTTCTCCATCATAAGAGGCTCTCTCTTCATTACACCCTTCCTTCCTCATGCAACAGAAATATAATATCCCAGCTAAACCTGACCCTGGGTAAACACTGAACACAGAGAAAACAGTGCCTTGAAAGTCACCAGTTAATTCATCTTTCACAAGCCGATTACTCCTGATGTGAAACGTTTGCTCCCATCCCCTCAGATCAGCAAGCTGGGGTTTATAAACAGCTCTGCAAGAAGGCTCTTCCTGAGTCACCCAAGGACTTGCACTGACACATGTGCCAATGTTACAGGCAGTTGAAAGCACCACTGTAATTACAGTTGACTGTTGTACAGCTCCAGTTTTCGTTGCTCATAACTTCATCTACAACTAATTTTTTGGGCTGGAAATTTCTCCAGCTGGCCTTGGCCTCAAGCTAAACTTTTTCATTTCAGCTGAAATGGTCCAAGTCTTTCCCAAGAATATGTTTGAGGGAAAAGAATCTTTTGCCCCTATTAAAAGGATCTTTCTGTCATTTACAGAAATGCTTCCACATCTCCATGTTTCTTAAAATACTGGCAAACTCCACTGCTGTGAAATACATGTCTTTCCCTGCAGGAAAAGGATTATAATTTGCCTGGTTTTAGCCTTAGACTTTTTATATATTTGCTGCTTACACACATGCAGCAGAGATCAAGAGAATAATTTGACTATCCTCAGTGCTGAGCAAGTCCAGTGCTCCACTGTGCCAGGCACACCAGTTAGGCCACACATGCAGCATCTGACCATAATCAAGAATGCTCCTGCAGCTGGCTGCAGGGTTTGGAAGGGCTTTCTCTGCTAATGGGATCTCTGGTGCAGGGCCTCTGTGGCACCAGGCCAAAAATTGCTGGGATACAGTTCAAGCTGAGCAAGGATATAGACTCTACAGGTCAGTGAACACTAAAGAAGTAGCTACCAAAAAGAGCCAATGATCAGCCTATCCGTAGAGCAAGGTCTGACCTGTAGATGATGAAGGTGACTCTGGGTGCACATGGAGCAGTGAATACAAGCCCAAATATTCAGAGGACAAACCCCATGAACATGAGAAGGGAAGCCTTGAAAAATCGGAATTAAAAAATGCAAATGACATCTTTAAAATCTATACCAACCCAACAGAGCCCAGAGATGTCATTAAGAAAACAGAATACCCAGCTCTCAGCAGCCTAGGAGCAAACTGGAAAAGCAAAATGGGCCCGCTCTGAGGCAGAAATTAAACCACTTAGGGATGTTCTTACTACTCTGTGAACATGAGTCAGTACAAGTGAAAATGGTGCACAGATGGGCCAGCACAGAAGCAACAGAAGTGCCGTGATATTTACAAGGGGCGGGGGGGGGGAAACAATCTTCCAAGTGTAAATATACCAGAGAAATCGTCCGCTCGCAGCACAAACCAGGGCTTTGATGCAGCAAACCCTCCCACCAGGGACAGCTACCAGGAGCTGGTAGACACATACCTGGAAGACAGTACGCTAACAGTGCTGATCTTTTCCAAAGAGTCACAACACGCAGAAACACGCCAGATGACATGGATCACTTTACAGTCTGTATGCAACCAGCAGCAAGGGGCCAAGCACTGTCCCAGGCCACAGAGAGATGCTAAGAAGGGAAGAACCATGGCAAGTGTTGACTCTAACATCTGGCAACACCAGCTTGGGCTCCATGTGTGCACAGCTTGGGCACTTCAGCTCAAGGCAGACCACAGCCGCCCATAGAATCATAGAACAGTTTGGGCTGGAAGAGACCTTCAAGGGTCATCTAGTCCAACCCCCCTGCAATGAGCAGGGACATCTTGAACTAGATCAAGCTGAACACCAGCAACATAATAGCTTAAAAACACTTGGATCCATTCTACTGTTGTTCTGCATAGAGCCAAGCAGGTGGCATTTTGGGGTCCCCCAGCCTGTCCTGGAGCAGTGATAACACATGAGGTCTCTTTCCCCAACCTCTCCCAGGTCACCCCATCAGTGCAAGCTGCTCAGTTCCCAGCATGGCCACAGGGCTGAGCTTTCTAGGCAAATCACATTGCTCCCCACCCGTCCTTCCCTCACCTGTAAACCAGCAGTAACAATATTTACACTTCTGCAGTTGGCTCAAGATGGGGAAATGAGAACTTAATTATCATCAGTGAGGAACAGCTCATGGCTTGACTGCCGCACGAAAGGCGATGGAGACCAAAGAGCAGGCTGATCTCCCAGAGTTGCAGGAGATAGCACAAACCTCACCCCAGCAGTAAAAAGGTCTAAGAGCTTTGAATGGGAAAGAAACAGCTTTGCATCACTCATGAACTTGCTTACAATGAATTATCACAACATTTCATAATGGGTTTCTGAGTGGGTCAACCAAACTCCTTCCTATTGAGCTGCTCTGACGGCTGATTGCAGCAGCACACACACTTGGGTTCTACAGGAAAACCATTTTTAAACAATAAAACCAACTTTCAGAACCTCTCACCTCCCCCAGACCCCCCTAACAACTTCGCTGGGTTCACACCACACTGTCTCACTCTCAAAGACTTTTTTTCCCTGGTGTTGTGTAAAGACCTGAACACAGCAGGAGAAATTAATTAACTGAGCAGACAGCAATTCTGCCATCAAATGAACAAAATGAAAGAGTAACAGAGACTTACACTTTTAGTCACCCCTAAGTGCTTCACATGACAACAGCAGGGAAAACACAGTCCAGACTGTTGTTTTAATGTTGATAATATTCCAAAATCCACAGTGCTTACTAATTTCTCAGTGGAAATAAAACCTTTGACATCAGTGGGAATTCTGTCTAGGCATGGAAGTTGGTTGTTACATTACAGTCTAGCAATAAAAGTCTATTTTGATGGTAAGATCGTTAGCACAAAGGTATTTTCTCTCTATGCCTGCCCCGAGCACCTGGACTGACAAGCAGAGGACACAGCTTCAGTTGAATTGCATTGGATTTGAATACACCCCTGCACAAACAAGCTTTCTGCCTGTGCTAGCTGAGAGTCTGTTCTGCTCTTCACTATGGGCAGGGTTTATACTCTGTAATCACCTGCCAGCAGCTGAGGTCTGCCCAATGTGTCAGCCTGCTCTGCTGGAGAGCATTTGCTCTTTGCATCTCAGCAGGCTTGTTACTGCTGCTTAGAGCCCACTCGAACACAGACCAGAACTGGACAAAGCAAGGCTGTTAGATCCCCCCCAAACCAGGAAGATGCTAAAGAATGTAGGAGGTGAGGGGGGAGGGAAAGCGATATGATAGTAAGAGGGAAAGGAGAAGAGTTAAAATTAAGACAGGAAAAAAAATCAAAGCTGTGGAGCATAAAAAACAATCACTTCAGGCGTACATCAAAATAGTGTCAGATCTTTTTCTGTTCATTAAGTCAGCAGTTAAACACCCACCAGCTCCACTTTTTGCTAGCCCTGAAGTTTTGCCATATCTGGAGATCCACTTTCTGGCATCAGCAGTAGAAACAACTGGGTTTGCAGGCAAATAACCTCATCTAAGGGCAGTTGGATGAATCCTTCCACATTGACTCGTTTCATCATAGGGTCCACCGGTAGGGGTCAGGTCCCATACTCTGTATGGTGACCAGCCCAAGAGCCAGGACCAGAGTACAATAAAACTCTGGTTTGGATAAAAGGTCAGAATTCTAGATTTTTCCTGTATTTAAGTCATACGTAATAGCACTTAATATACATCCTCAGGGGTTGATAAAAGAAAATTACCCCCATAATATTAAGTTAAAAACATCAAATTCCTATCAATGCAGCTCATGTAGTAGAGATTACCAGCCTGCAGGGACCCTGAGTGCTCCCAAAAAGGGAACAACTGTGCACTGGTCTGAGAAGAACTTGTCCATCTCTGACACTTGGGGTTTTAAACTCTCACATTTACAGCAGAGTCATAGAGAAAGTACCAGAGGCATGAGCAGAGCTTTTGAACCTGTAACAAAATTTAATATAAAATCATTGCAAAATTTCATGGCATGGTTAAAACAAACAAAAAAAAACAACTAAACCCAGAACAATAACAAACAAACAAAAAACCAAAAACAAAACTCCCCCAAAACCCCAAACAAAACCACACACAAACACACAAAAGAACCCAGCAACCCACACGCAATAACTTAAGACCAATCCCAAATCTTTTTTATTTTATAAGCATTAGTTACCTGTCCTGTACATAACTTCTGCTGTGCTGATGGAACTTTCCCACTGCAGGTATAACGCTGAGTAAACAAGAAAACCTTTATTTACAAAAGAAGGACAACACTGTACAATGCAGAGTACATATTAGATCGAGACCACGGTAATTTCCTAGGACTGTATTTAGATGAAAGAGTCTGGGATTTTTAGTGGTTTTGGCTACAAAACTCTTCCCAAGGGACATGTACAATTTAGCTGTGCTATAAGTCTCCTTCAGGCTCAGGAGCCAAGAAGAGAGTCATCTTTCTCCTCCAAGGGCCAACATTCAGGATTTGGAAGCAAAACCACTTTCCTCCCAAACAGTATCAGCCCTGAGTTGTACCAGCTCTTTCTCAGTGCCCACCCCACCATCATACTAACCTAGGCACATCGATCAGGCCTGTCCAATGTGAGGGGAAAAAAACCCAAGCAGACACCTTGCTTGCCTGGTACTACCTTTCCGCACTTGAATTCCCACACTTCCCAGTCTAATAAAGCTGCTTTATGCACTGTTTTATCACTGCAGATAATACTGCACACACTCAGCAACAGGAACAGAGATTCTGGTGAAAGCAAGTTTGTTTATTTGAGGGTTTGGTGGGGTTTTGCCCTTAAAAAAAAAACCAATTCTTCCCCATACAAAACTAAGAACATTCCTCGCCAGTCCTCAGTCAGCCAAAAAACACACGAGGTCTTTCTAAAAACTAAGTTCAGTGCAACAAAGATATTAACTGCTGGGAAAGGCAGGAAAGCTCTTTTACAAATGTTCATTGATGCACTGAACTTCACCTTACACTCTAAAGCTGCCTTTTGGATTCTGCAGACTTCTGGAGTAAGGCAGAGAGGAAGAAAGGAAAACCTTGGCCAGAGCAGTTACGCTGCTTTTGAGACATGTTTTCTTTGGGTTCAGGCCTCAGATTCTCAGCCAGCAATTTCTGTCCCTGGTGGAAAATAAAATAATAGTAATAAAAAGAATACGAAAACACCGGGTTTTGCTGCTTTTCAGGAATTTAGAGAGCAAACATCAGTTTCTAATGCATTTGAGAGAAATGTGGATTGACCCCAATGTCCCAGTATCCTTCCATTTGAGATCATAGTTATTATGAGTAAATAAACTCCTCAGCATCTCTGCCCATGAGTGCTGCCATGCCCAGCCCTGGAATAGCACGGTACTGGTGACATGGTGCTGGGAAGTGGGAAAAGAGGCACCCTGCAAGACACATCCCTGTGCACATTCAAGTTGTGCTTCCATGGAAGTGGAGAGATTGGTCCACCGATTACCGAAGTCCCCATCGCCGACACTTGAGCACATCCACATGACAGCATTAATGACTCTCGAAGAGCTTTTACATAGGCACCATGGCTTGTGCCAGGTACTCTGGTTTCAGACAGGTGCAAGTAAGCCTTGTTTTAAGCAATTGGCTATCGTCCCAGAGTAGACGAGGCCGGAATTAATTTTCTCAGTTTAATTTATTATTCAACATTTTCATTCTAAAACTGCACATTGATGCTTGGGGACCAGCAGGTGCATTTAATCGGTACATAAACCATACCCAAGCAGTCCTGTTTCTTCTCATTGCTGAGCTGTCTAGCAGGAGCACACCATTCCTCATACCCAATCCGCTGCTTAGCTTTCTTTCCTCCTTCCCTTTTAAATGGCACAGACAGCTGATGAAGAGCCAGGATCTCACCTTGACCCAGACTCGAAGCTCCATCAGACTTTCTCAGCAGGAACAGCCAGGCTTGAAATGAGAGGTAATGTTTGGCAGGTGCTCCCAGGGGACTGGCCAAAAATAAATGCACTCTCCAGTTAATTTCCATTCAAGTGCTACAAACATTTCTCCTTTAAGAGTGCAACTGAAGCATTTGATTTATACAAGGCAAAGAGGTTCTGTGCCTGTTTGCAGTAGCAGTGGCAGACCCAGCACACAACAGGGAACATTCAGACCCATTTTAAGCACCTACGTAATGTACCCATGCTCTCCATACAGGCAAGGGATCTTTTAGGGTGTAACTGAGAGCACTGTAATTAGGATCCTGCCCCTCACTTTTGATTACAGCAGGAGTCTAGACATCTAATGTAGGCAGAGAAATTACATACTTAAAATCAGCTTGTATAAACATCCCCCAATGTATCGGTTTTTTGAGGAACCAGACTGGAGGCTCTCTGAGAAAATGGTTATGACAAGCAGTACTCGGCACTTGGCAGGCAGTGAGAAGCAGAGTAAGTCTGTTTACAGGGAGCTCTACTCAGCCGTGACTTCCACAGGGCAAGCCACTGCAGCCAGCCACAGAACACCACGAGTTGAAGGGAACCGAGCCCCTGCCCCTTCCCGCAGCTCAGCTGCTGGCACTGCAGGAGGAAAATCCGTTGGATGTCAGCTCTGGCGCAGGACCAGAGCCAACAGCCCGGCGGCCTGACAGCCCATTGCCCAGGGAAAGCTGCTCCTTCCTTCTCCCGGGTGATGGAAGAGACTGGGAATACCCCTGATACTTAACCACAGGGCCGCTGGGGTTGCACAGGATAAGGGCTGTTTGTAGTGTTGCCATCTCATACTACTGCTTGACTTGCCTTTTTTAAGGAACTACTTGGATCACAACTTTAATCAGGACTTTAGAAAACAAGGCATTTAGAAGATCTGATCAGGCACATTCCAGCTTTGTAAGGGAATTTAAAAGACTCCAAATTAGCAAATTTTTTACTTAAAAAAGGATTACTGTATTTGGAAACAAGGCCATAAAACAACAATACCTCAGGCAGGAGATGGACACAGGTGAAAATGTAATTCAGCCTTTGAAACTGCTCATTTTAAATGGTCTATAGTATTTTCATTTTCCATCACAGATAACTGTGTGGCAAGGCTATGCATTTCTACATGACAGCTCATTCAGCTTTTAAAACAGGAGCACTCCACTAGCAGCTAAATTGATGCTTTTTATGTGTCCATCACTTATCAAGGGTAATAGATTAGCGCCTTTGAGGGGCTCTGAGATCTAACGGATTACATGTTTTAATCCTGCTAAATGATTCGAATATTCAGGAAGAAAAAGATTCTAAACCAGATTTTTGTGTGACCCAGCATTACCTTTCCTGATCAGCATTTCCCCTTCCCTTTAAGCATATTTTTGCTTTGATAGACAAAAGCATGCTAAGTCCAGGGAGGAGATTTTCAAAGGCAGCAAGAAGAATTGAGCATTGATACCTCTTAAAACGTAATGGGAAGTAAGTATATTTTCCCACTGAAAGCTCCTCCAATGGCCATTTATTCCGCTATTTAAGGATTACAGTTGAATCTAGCTCAAGAGAAGAAAATGAAAAGGCCTTAGCCCCCTTGATGTTGGAGGAAAGCGATCCAACAAGAAGACGGCACTACAGCCCTGGACAACATAATGCATGCGAAGCTCCAGCCTCAGCACAGACACATCCTCTGCAGAGCAACTGGAAGTGTTTAAGTCTGGGCTGCCTGCCTTAAACACACCCGGAACCAAGAATAGCCTGGGCTCCCGGGCACAGGTCAGGAGATGCTGAGTCACTCGCTGGCGGGTCCCCAGGCTTTCCAGCTGCCTTGGGCTTGGCTTCCCTTAAAGACACAACTTGTGCCGCTGCACACAGCCCCGCGCTGGCTGGGCACCACCGGTCACAGATGGCAGCCTTGGTTATTGGGGAGTTCAGTCAGACGAATTCCCAGTTTGAACCGCCCTGTTTCCCTCCAGTTTCAAAGCACAGCACTGCTGCTGCCCGCCCTCCTGTCACTTAAATGGTACATTCATACTTCTCTTTGTAATTATGAATCAACTCACAGGCACTGGTGTGCACCCCAGGCTCGAACAGCACTGCAAACAATATACTGTCACGGGTTGCATCAGCTGCTGCGATGCTCTCTCATGCCTTCAGGCTTGCTAACTCTAATATAATAGCCTTTTACCCACGTCCTCCCTCAACAATTACCAGAGGCTTGGAAAGCCACTGAAATGCAAATAGCTGATAGAAGAGGTTATCGGGGAACCAGAGTGGGAAGGTACAAGCGTTGTCCTGCTACTTGCCTTTAGTTTGATTCAAACTGGACTGTAATCCCGAATTTCTTTGTATAAACAGGAATAAAGGAAATATTGTGAATGCACAGATGGTTTTGTGCAGTGGCTGACCTGCACCTTCTCTAGCTCAGCTCCTCTGTAACCTGGGACCCCTGTTACTCCTGCTGCAGTAGAGTTGCACAGTACATAAGCATCATGCACTGTGATGACACGATATGAGCATGCCGAACTATGGTAACTTCCTGAAGCTCGCTCTGGTGTGCGTTTTGGAGACCTTCCCCCTGGAACGTTAGTGGAAAGCAAGGCACTGGGAGCATGGAGCCTGCAATCTTCCACATGGGCAGAGATAAAAATCAGGCTGCCCCTGCTAGCACACCACATCCCTTAACCCGAGCACTTCTGAAGATGACTAACTCCTCCATGTCCTGTTTGCTCACCATCTTTTCAGGTGATGTTACCACCAAGGACAAAAAGCACCTTCCAGACATGAGACCCTGACACTCAGCTTGAGCAGCCAGGGACAGCAGTATCTCCCAACTGCTGTGAGGTCGGGTGGAACTAGGACAACCCAGACACTTCTTCAGGCTTTCAGTCCTCACTAGCGCTTTAGGGCCTAAATATAGGCTGCATCCTCACCCCCTTTTCTGTAGTGAAACCACCTATAAATATCAATAAATAAAGATAATTCCTGTATCATTAACAATTCCCTCCCCCCATTTAAAAACAGATGTAGAGAAGAGGTTCCAGCACCTGGTGCACCTGAACTAGAAGGGGCAGTTTGTTTGCTTTGGCGAGATCTAATCTGCAGATCTAATTGCAGTTTACGGCTACTTAAGGGCAATTATTAAGACGATGGAGCCAAGTTCTTCTTGGCAGTAGTAGGTGTCACAACAGGAGGTGACAGCTAAATAAGCGGTCAGGGTCAGCGGGAGAGTCAGACAGGCCCCAGGAGAACCTCATTCACCAGGTGGTGGGGCACCGCTGCCGCGGGTCGCACAGGGAGGTGGGGGAACCTCCATCCCTGGAGGTTTTCAGTTTCACACCGAGTAAAGCCACAGCTGACCTGACCTGTTGTCCGTGGGTCCCGCTCCGAGGGGGCGTTTGGGCTAGAGACCTCCAGAGGTCGCTTCCAGCTAACATTTCTATGTCTCCGTAACCTCCGCGTTAAAAACTTGGCATGAAATCACAGCAGCTCCCTCCCCTGCACAGCCGCTTCCCGGGAGCGGGACAGAGCCCCCCGCCCTCACCATCGGCCCATCCCGCACCATTACTGTGCCCCGCCGGCTCCCGCGGCTCCGGGGGTGCTGTCGCCGGGCCCTCCCGCTGCTGCAGCCCACCCCCTCGGGCAGCAGCCCCGCAGGAGTTCGCTGCGCATCCTCAGCGCCAACTCTCCCCACGTCGATGAGCAAACGCGGGGCCGGGCTCAGCCGGGGCCGGGCTCAGCCGAGCCCAGCGCAGCCGCCGCACACGCCCAGCGAGAGGATGTGCGCCAGGGCCGTGGGAACGCCTTTGTGCCGCGACGGGTAGAGGCGGGTAGAGGCGGGCAGGCCGCGGGCCGGGCCGGGCCGCGCAGCAACCTCCGGTGCCAAAACTCGGGAAACCCTCGCGGGCCGCAGCTCCTCCCGTCACTCCTCCACGTCCGCAGGCTCCCCACCTCTTTTCTCTGTGGCCGGGTCCCGAGCGCAGCCCGGCGGGCGGGGGGCGGCACCGAGCGCCCGCCCCGCCCCATCGGAGGCAGGCGGCCAAGCCCGCGGCAGAGTCGCAGCCCCGCCGCGACATGGCCGGCCGCCGCCTCCTGGGGCTCCTCCTCGCCTTCGCCGCGCTGCTGGGCGCAGGTAGGTGCCGACTGCTCCGCGGGGCGGCAGCGGGAGGGAGCGGCCCAGGGTTGGAGGCTGGGGGGTGGTGTCCCCCGGGGCGAGGCTTACGCGTGATCGCGGCGGCGGGTCCGGCCCAGGCACGGCGGATGTGCCCCCGAGGGAACCCCGCGGAGGCTGCCGTCAGCACCCCCATCCACGCGCTGGGTACACTCCGGTGTATGCAGCCTCCAGGAGGTGAGGCCTGGGTAGGGGGGAGATGCACCCTCGAGGAGGGTCCCCCAGGAGAACGCACCGCCCGCGGATCGCCCCCGGGCCGCACCCTGCGCAGCGCCCCGACACCGCAGCACATGGCCGGACGCCAGCCTGTGCGCCAGGGCCCGGCCTTCGCCGTCCCCGGTCACTCCCCTCTACCGCCAGCGCCCTTTCCTTTGCCCCCCCTCTCCGCGGCGGGAGATGCTCCTGCACAGGTATCCGGCAGATAGGATGGCTCTAAAACCTGGCATTAGATAACAATACTGCTGATTAAAGCATCTCAGAACGCAATATGTGCCTCTGCGTGAGGAAGTGTCACGGTGATATTCAAACAAAACGTACGATGCTGCAGGTAGAAGGCTCAGGAGCAGTCAGTGTCTCAGATAATCCGAAACAGAGGGAGGCACAGAACCATCTCAGAAGGATGATTTGGGTTTTGCCCTCTGCTTACTGAGCTGTTGGATTAGATTCTCTGCATGACCCAAATTTCTTGGGTTGCAGGTTGTATTCTCACTCTTTTTTAGTCCCAGTGCTATTTCTGCAGATTAAACTAGTCTAACCCAGAAATCACTCCCAGCTGAGCAGTAACTGGGAAGATAAGGAAAAAAATAAAACAAGAATTTATTTTGGGGGGGTTCAGGTGAGGGCTAAAATCAGTGCAAAGCTTACCACAACTGTTTCCTTAAAATATTAATATTAATAAGTATTTTTTAAAAAGCTGAATAGAAAAGAAAAATGCTTCTTAAAGGTTGTACAGAAAAAATTGACAGCAGTTATGTCTTGGGAAAGTTTTTCTAAAACTCTGCTATTAGCTAGGAGGTACCCATCAAACCCAGACTGATTAGAACATATCAGCGTCAAACGAAGAGTGAAGTAGGCCATGAGCCGCTTTTGCTGTTGGAAAAGAATGGGTTTTCTGTGGGTCAACCTGAAATTAGCCTCTGTGCATTAGGTATTTAGCTACTCATGCACATGGAAGGGTGACAGCATGGTGCAGAGTTGCTTATGCTTACCAGCTTAGCTGCTATGTTTTTAATTGGCGGGTATCAGTTGGACAGGTTGAGCTAAGAGACTGTGCAGAAAGTCTTGATTTTAGGTTAAAATGTACAAAAGACCAGGTTGGACAAGGCCTTGGGTGATATGATTTAGCGTAAGGTGTCCCTGCCCATGGCAGGAGGGTTGGAACTAGATGATCTTAAGGTCCTTTCCAACCCTAACGATTCTATGATTCAAAAAAAAAAAACCCCAAACTGATTAGTCAGCAAAAAACCTGATTCATTTGTGTTCCATGTTGTTTGCAACATGGGCAAAGAAAAATGCTTTTCTGTTTCATTTTGGAGCACTGGACTGCTGGGTCTGGCGCTTGAATGTCCTTGGCTGTGTTTGTATCAAAATGAGTTTCACTGAAACATTCATGAAGTGTTTTTGCCAGCACAAGGCTTCACAGGTAATTGAACAACGTTATGTTCAGTTCCTGTCTGAGCTGCTCTAAATTGCCTCTCCATGGAAATAACTACATAAAGGTAGGTGGCTCTGCACTTACAAATTCTTCTGCTGACACTGGACATGCAGAGATGAGGTACTGCTGCCCAGCTTCAGCCTTTCCACATGGCCTCTGGTTCCTCCCCTGGTGTTTCTGTGTTTCACATGTGGTGGGTGTCTACTCATCCCTCTGTCTCTCTCCCAAACATTTTGGAGCAACTTTGCAGTGCCCATCTGAGCACTGAACAGGCCTTCCAGGTACTAGGGCAGCCTCCCTGCTGTCATCCCATGCCCAGGAAGATAGCAAGTGATGGAAAGGAGGTGGGTTCTTGAGGCAGGGCTTTCTACCAGCTCCTCAGTGCAGCAGCAGAAGAAATCAGATTTCTTCATTGCCTCTATTTGCTGGCTTTTTTTCCTGGCTTCTTTGGTAACAGTCATTCCAGCACTGTCAGCAGTTGCAGGCAGCCCAGTCTCTCATAAGCTTGGAGGCTTACAAATGACCAAGAACCAAGGCTACCAAATTTGATATCAGACTCATTACTTTGATTGATTCCTGCAGCTAAGGTCTGGATACACCATTGACACAGGAACAGTGTGCATCTTGGTTGTGGCTGTCCAATAAAGCAGGAACACCCACCCCACTTTATAACTGAAAAAGCACAGGAGGTTTTGAGTTTCCCTTTGGTCAAATCCCCCTGTATTTCACTTCGTACACTGCGTGCTTCAGTGCCTGGTGGGCTATCGGACATAGCCATGCCACATCCGTCTGCGCTTCTGAGCTGCTGTGATCCCTCTGCCTCAGCACCTCTATGGTTGTAGATGCAGTGCTGGAAATAGGGATTGCTCAAGATGCTTTCTAGTGCCACTGAACTCTGGCATATTCCCACAGTACAGTGACAGGGAGAAGCCTTTTGAGTATTTTGATGCAGTGGAAGACACTCAATTCCCTGCCTTTTTGCTGCAGTCAGAGGCGAGTGTTCCCTATGCTAGCATGTTGCATGATGTTGAATTCCCAGGTTGGTGGCTTTTCAGAAAGTAGTTATGTTTAAGTCATCCCGGGCTAGCCACATGTTTGTGCAAAATAAGGGAAACAGTCCAACAAGGAACTTCCCACAGTCGTTTTTTCCCCTCTCCTGTCCTCACCCTCGTGGTAAGCTAGTACAGAAATGCAGTGATGTGCTTTCATGGAAGATGGCAGGTCAGTGTTCTTGCAGGGACCGCAAGGTTACCTCTTACAGGCCAGGCAGAAGGAGCACATCCAGGTTTTATGCTTTACGTTGCGTTATAAAAGTTTGAAGAAAAGCTTCATGATTACAAACTGGCAATGAGCATAGTTGGGCACATCTTCCAAAGCTGCAATATTTCCAGTGATGGGCAGCTCTCCATGTTGTCATCCTGTGTCTTAATAGACAGCGTCTCACAGATCACCTCTTCTCTTCAGTGTGACTATGATATCCCACCAGCAATTACAATAATTACTTAAATGTGAAGGTACTATTTGACAGTATAATTAGCTATTTATAACTGTTACACAGATGGCTCCAGTCACTGCAGGCGGCTCCTCTGCACAGTCTCCACACAACAGTGCCCAACCAGCAGCACAGGGAAAACAGAAAGGAGCCAGCTCTTTTCCAGATGTTTTCCGGGTGTCCGGGCTCTGTGTTGCAAAGGGCAGTGGTGGATGCAGGTAGCGGAAGAAGGGGTGCTGGTGCCAGGTAACCCACCAATCCTGTGCCCATCGCTTGCCTGGGTCACTTGCCATGGTTGTGCCAGGAGAGTTGCAGGGAGGAATTCGGAGTGGAAGGCAAACCATTGGTTTGGCATTGCTGTTGAGGCTGAAGGAGATAGCAGCGCTGTGTTAGGCATTTACCTGCATTACAAATCTTTGTTATAATACATTATTATGTTATTAAATTTATAATTACTAGGTATCAGAAGCAAGTCAAAGTAATACATTTAGAGAATAATTTTACTTTTATAGAGTCTTTAGTGCCTATGAAAAAGCAGGAAAAATTTAATTGGTTTTCTTACAAATTATCTCTGATCTCTGAACAAATATGCATTAATTAAATGTGCCATGCCCAGATATTTCTGTACATAGCTTTGGAAATAATTAATTTCCATACTTCTGTTTGTATTTTGTAACTTTTTCTTCTACCAGTATAGTAATATCTGTGCTAGAAAATGACCATCTGACTCTTGGGCTTGTTCCCCCTCTACAGAAATTTTTCCCTTACATCTGTTGCAACCATTTCAGCCCTTAAAGCACATAAAACAAAAGATTCTATTGATCTCCAGTGTTGACTAGAATAAACTTTTAGGACTGCTCAGTTTAAAAACAAATTGGTTTCTCCTTGGAAAAATATCTCCTGGAGGTTTAGGGCATTGACTTTACAATTAACTAAAGGAGAAGTTGAGGTTTTAGTAGGCAGGGCTTCTGAAGCCACTCTAAAAATAAAATGTATGTTTATTAAACTGCTGAACACTGATGGCAGAGAGAAAAACCTTTGCAATAATTCCTTTGTATTCCAGTTGATAGAACTCTCAATTGGTAGAAGAACTTGAATAGAAGAAAACGGGAGAAGATGAATGTGGCATATCAAAACACAGAACAGGAAGGGACTGTTTTTGAAAAGAGAACTTCAAAGTTAGGGATCCAGATGCTGTAGTCACAAGCTGCGATTTGGGATGTGAGCACGAGAATGCATTTCCCGAGTGAACGATGCTTTTGAGAAGGAAACAGAGCACTAACATGAGCCTGTTTGCCTCCACAAAGCGAGGCAAATGCCTTCTGTATGCTTGCAGGGACTTCAGTGGAGCCACACAGGGTCAGGTTTTGATCTTCTGAAACCTACTGTTATGATGTGAATAAAGTTAATGCTAATACATATTTACAAAACTGTCTTCTAGTCACTCCAAGATCCTTTTTCCTTG